AGTTTCTGGTAATGCCATTTGGCCTCACCAACGCCCCCTCGACCTTCCAAGCTTTGATGAACAACGTGTTTCGCCCATTCCTGCGCAGGTGTGTTCTCGTATTCTTTGATGATATTTTGGTGTATAGCCCCGACCTGAAGACGCATACCACCCACCTGACCATGGTCTTTAACCTCCTGAGAGATAACTCCCTGTTTTTGAATTTGAAAAAATGTCAATTCGCGGTAGAGCGCATTGAGTACCTGGGATATTGGGTCTCAAAGAAGGGGGTAGAGGCGGATCCTTCTAAGGTAACAGCCATGTTACAGTGGCCAGTACCCGTGAATGTAAGAGAACTCAGGGGATTTTTAGGCCTCACAGGCTATTACCGGAAGTTTGTCTCCAACTATGGCACCATCGCAACACCATTGACACAGCTCTTGAAGAAAGACGGATTCAATTGGACCGACTGTGCAACAGAGGCTTTTGAACGGCTCAAACGAGCAATGGTCACATTGCCAGTCTTGGCATTACCAGACTTCAATGCCCCATTTGTCATCGAGACCGATGCGTCAGGCACCGGGTTGGGAGCAGTCCTCACCCAGAATCAACGCCCCATTGCTTACTACAGCCATACTCTATCCCTACAGAAACCAAGCCAAATCGGTGTATGAGAGAGAACTGATGGCGGTAGTCTTGGCTATCCAACGATGGAGGCCATACCTATTGGGACAGAAATTTGTCGTTCGAACAGACCAACAGGCCCTCAAATATCTATTGGAGCACGCATCGTCCCACCGGAATACCAGAAATGGATCTCCAAGTTGCTGGGGTACGATTTTGAAATCCAATATAAATCGGGGCTGGAAAACAAAGCCGCAGATGCTCTCTCTAGGATGCCTACGACCCCTATGCTAATAGTCCTTTCAGCACCGGCGGTGATTGATGTGGAAATCATTAAGCGAGAAATCACTGAAGACCTTCACTTCTCCAAGATTATAGCCGAATTGCACAATGATCCTGACAGTAAAGAGAAGTTCCATGTGCAGCAGGGGACTCTGTACTACAAAAATAGAATGGTACTCACTCGCACTTCCTCACTTATACCAGCGATCCTACAAATGTACCACAACTCAGTAGTAGGGGGACATTCGGGGTTCCTTAGAACCTATAAGCGGTTGACAGGGGAGCTATATTGGCCTGGAATGAAGGATGACGTCAAAAGGCATGTCAGTGAATGTGAGGTATGCCAAAGGCACAAAACTGAATCGCTAGCCCCCGCGGGTTTGCTCCAACCCTTGCCACTACCGGACCACATGTGGGAAGATGTTACCATGGATTTTGTGGAGGGCTTGCCTAAATCAATGGGGAATGACACCATCTTCGTAGTAGTGGATCGTTTGAGCAAATATGCTCACTTTATTCCATTATCCCATCCGTTTTCTGCTAAAGTAGTTGCCATGGCTTTCATCAAAGAGATTGTAAGACTTCACGGGTTTCCCAGGTCTTTCATATCGGATAGGGACAAGGTTTTCATCAGCCATTTCTGGACTGAGTTATTCCGATTGCAGGGGACCACCTTGAAACGCAGCACAGCATACCACCCGCAGACTGATGGACAGTCAGGGAGAGTAAACCGTTGCCTAGAGACCTACCTGAGGTGTTTTTGCAGCGAGAAGCCCAAACAGTGGGGGCAATGGCTAGCTTGGGCAGAGCACTGGTATAACACCACCTACCACAACTCTAAAGACAGCCAATGCCACCTTGGATCAGCAACTCGTGGAGAGAGATATGGCACTAGCCCGATTGAAGAAACACCTACAGAAAGCCTAAGATCAAATGAAGAAGCAGTCTGACAAGAAGCGAAGGGAAGTCGAGTATGAGGTGGGCGACCTAGTATTCCTCAAAGTACGTCCCTATCGGCAATTGTCCTTGGCCAAGAAGCGGAATGAGAAACTGCAGCCCAAATATTTCGGGCCCTATGCAATCTTACAACGCATTGGTAAGGTCGCTTACCGCCTTGAACTGCCGCCCGAAGCTCGGATCCACCCCGTCTTCCATGTCTCTCAGCTTAAGAAGGCGATCGGAACAGCATCAGCAACACAATTCATCCCACCACAACTGTCGGAAAATTGGGAATGGATGGTGGAACCTGAATCCGTCTTTGCTTATCAGATCAACCCGGACACTGGAGAGTTCGAGGCCCTTATCAGCTGGAAGGGACTGCCAGAAGAGGATGCTACATGGGAGACCGTGTGCGACATCAGTCGACGATTCCCCACGTTTCACCTTGAGGACAAGGTGATGGTTGAGGGGGGGGGGGGTAATGTTAGACCACCTATCATAAAGACATATAATAGGAAGGGCAAAGGGGTAATTGTAGAGGGCCATAATGGCCAAGAGAGAGAAGATGGTACGAGTGGGGCAATGTAAGAGTGGACCGTTGTCTATAAGGACAGGGAATGTAGGAGGGAGGGGATCATCCTAGTTTTATGCTTTTGCAGCTTTTGTAGTTGGTTGGAGAGATTACTCACCCTCTCAGATTGGTGAGTCGGTTTTGTATTGCCCACGGGCTCTTTTCTAAGGAATCAAACAGCTTGTGAGGGTTGATACCTCACAAAAACCAACAGTTTGCCTCTTGATACCCTCATCCCGATTCCCGCATGGGGACCTACCCTCCATCCTCCGAGACTAACACTAACCTACAGCCTACTTACTAATTTTGTCTTTTTCTCTTATAGAAGTAGGCAATATATATATTTTTTTATAACTGGAAGTCGAAGCTTTGCTCCCCTATACCCAAGGACACCCGCGCCCGCCCCAAGGCCCGGACCCGGGAGGCATCAACTGTTTTTGGTATTAAGCTCACTAGAATATTCGAATCTGAGACCTCTAAGTCAGTATGACCAAGAGACCCCAAGCCCTTGCCAACTGGGCTACTCCTTGGGGGCTAATAGAAGTAGGCAGTATTACAACCATCTTTTTGGTAGGGGGTAGAACCAGATAATCTTTTAAAAATCCTCTAATTTATTAACTTTTTCATTAGCTCTTTTACATATAAAAAATTGTCTACATTTTCTATTGTGTGCTATGCCTTCACTATTTTTTGTGCCTCAGACTTAAGCTTTGGAGAATTATTGCACTTTGATGTTCCTCGCTTTTTAGAAAACACTAGTTAGAGTTAGAGAAAGTTACCATGGAATAGGATAAATTAGCTCTCTGTTTACCATAGATCAGAGGCGGATCGATGATATTTCTGAGATATTTCTGAGAAATCATAACTCTTTAAGATTATAGTCCCTCAAGTTTGCTGTTAGCATTTTGTTGACTAAGCTCCATTTCTTTTATAAAAAAGATTTATTTTAATTGGTTGTTCATTGTCCAACCCAAAGTAAACTGCAATTGCTCAATTTGTTAAAGAATTAGTAAAACGACACTTCAATAGGTTAGATGCTTTTGCCTTACCAATATTTATATTAACGTTGCAGGCAGCTAAGGAGTTCGAGTCCGAGCTGAAGAAAGAGCCCGAGGCAATCGGAGAGACTGCAGTAGAAAAGCCTACATCAGTGGATGAGGAGAGGCAAGATGTGAAGGTATCAAACCAGAAGGAGAGTGTATGAAGCTGTAGGTAGTACCAGCACATTCATGTCAACATTTTCCTATCACTGTGCTTTATGTATGAGAATCAATTAGTGGAATCTGAAGATCACTTAATGAAGATAAATGAGTTTTCCAGTGCTGGACTCTGATAGGTATCGAATTCCGATTTAATCATACCAAAAGAAAATATGAGCTGCAAGCTCAAGAACACGCTCCTAGGCTGATCCGAGAGGGCAGCTTCTCTCCCTGCAAAAAGGACTCACCCGATATCTATTTACCTCCCTCTCGTTGCACGCACGCCATGCTAAAATTTCAACTATAACAATACCGTTTTACCCTTCCTTACGTTTTCACTACTGGGGCAAATTTGAAGTTTGGGATACTGCATGTTCATAGTAAATACATAAAGTTACAATCATCAGTCTGCTGATAAAAACACTACAAAAAGTAGTTTTTTCCTACCTTTTTATTCTGATGACAAGACCCATATTTGCTTGTTGAATTCGGGACTTTTGTTCTTAAGTTAACAGGTCTTAGAATTTCATGAAAAGTCTGAAATTATGCAGTAGCAGTTTGAATTTACATAAAGCTCTGTAGCTATCATTTGATTTGATTATTGATATGAAATCCTGACTCGGTTAGATATTTGAAAGGACCACTTTCAATTCAAAATTAAAAGCTGTAAGGTAAATTTGTTTTGTTTGAAGCTGGTGCCTCATTTTATGGGCTTAATTTAACAGGTCCATTGGTTCGTGATTATGACATATATATCCTTGTTTTATGCTTACATTTTCTTAATCATACCACTTTTTATTACCCTCCAATCAAAAGTAGTTATTTTAAAATTACTTTTGAGAGAATTTTGTGTAAAGTTTGTTGTTATGGTCTTCCTAGGTGGCCCACTAGTTTGAACCATCCTATGGTGAAGCTAGGAAGCCATAGATATTGTTTCACACTTTATTATAATTATAAGTTTCATTTCCATCATACAAACTGGATTAAGTTGTGAGTTAGATTAAACTGAACTTTCAGTAAATGAATGTAATCTCTGATTCAGACTGTAATTTGACCATATAGCATTTGTCATTCGATAGCTAAAATTATTTCTTCATAAGTTAGTACCGACCACGATTCTCGAATCATGATATTAAGAGACATTTTGATTTACATCTCGTTTTGACCGTTGAGTCCATCATAATAGTTATTGTACCGTTAATATATATGAAAATATAGAGAAATAAGATGGTTTGAAATTGTCGTTGATATTTAAGTGAAGATATGGAATGCTAAATAGTCAATATTTTATAAAATAATAAATTAATTAGTACTTTTATCTAATGATTAGAATTCATGAACATCAAAAAGGCATTTTATATTTAAAAACTGTAAAAATACATCAGCCTTGACCTCTGTTGAATGCTCCAATAATCTTTACCTTCTCCACTAACGTTTATTATTATTATATTTGAGAATTGATTCCATATGGATTATGTTAGTAGGTTCCTACAACTGGGACTCGTTGTTTGGACTGAACAACGTTGTAATCATCACAAGACTGGAACTTGAGACTTCAAAGTAGATAGCACCTCAAAATTCCAAGTGCTTGTCATTGTCACATCTCTCGACCAACAATTGAGGATCAAGGTTGACCACCCTCATTTGAAATACAATACCATGGCACCCCCTCAATCCATTCTTCATACGGAATGTGTGAAGAGGTTGATTTTATACGGCCTAACACTTCCAAATTTCCAACAATCGTGCAACGTAGACACTCTAAACTTTGATACTATTGGAAGATCAACACCGAGTATGCAAATCTCTACTCTTAAGTTTTTTCTCTCTCTAAGGGGGTTTTTTATCTCCGTTTTCAAAACGGAGTGTAGGGTTTGTTAAGACAAACCCATGTTTGTTTCACAGTTTTATAAACTCGGTTTGCTACAATAAATACTATTTCACCTCTCAGGTTTGCTACAATAAATACTATTTCACTCTCTATGTTGCTACAATAATTTATTTCTACTCCCCAAGTTGCTGCAGTGTATATTTTATATTTTCTAAAATGCATTAATTTTTTAATTAAATATATTAAATAAATGAAGAAATTAATTACTTGTAATTATAATTATAAATAAGTAAATCAATTTAATTAAAAGTACATGTAATAAATAATTAATTCATATATCGACAATTTTTTCTTTCGTTTTTTTCCAAATGATCCAAGAAAAATCAAAATTTTTTTTGTTCTTATTATCTATTTTTAGCTGTTTTTTTTCATTTTATATAGTTGTTCATTTTGTTTCTATCATTTTTATTTACTTTTTATTATCACTATCACATTTGTAAAAGATGTTATAATTTTGTATAATTATTTATTTTAATTTTATATATTCTTTTTAACCTATGAAGTTAATAGTTTTTAAGCAAGTATTATTTAAAAGGTTTCCACTTTGTAATAAAATGTAATTTTTAAATAAAATAACTGAAATTTAATAGTAATGTTGATGATAATTAAGTAATCATTTTTTTCTTAGAATAATTAAGTAATAAAATTTATTTTAGTAAATAGTGAAAAATTAAATAACTTGTTGATAACATTTTCTCTACGGTAAAATTTATGTCTAATGAATTTGTATACTCTTGTTTAAACTTTGATAAATACTTTAAAAAGTATTTTCATAGATAATTAAATATTTATTTTTAAAAATTAATTATTGAAAAAAAATTGGATGGACAAAGGTATTAAAAATATTTTATATATCCTTAAAATAATATTTCCTAATTTCATAAGAAAATTGACTTATTTAAAATAAAGTTAAATAATTTAAATGTAACTTAAATTATTTTAATTAAACAATTAGTTTATAAATTATAATTTTTTAAAAAAAATTAAAACTCAACCAATCAAGCATAAATTTAATAAGTTCAGTTTAACCAAATACAAAATACAGACAACAAACCAGACTTAACATCAACCAAAGAGAGACTTAACAAACTTAGACTTAATAAACTTATTTCTTGCTCCAACCAAACACAGACTTAACAAACCAGACTTAATAAACCATGACAAAATAACGATCCAAACACCCCCTAAGTTTTTTAAAGCTCTAGAGCCTATTTGTGACTCTTTTTTTTTTTTAAATATAGTACAATAAATTGAGGTATGGGAGTTTGCACCTTTGATCTGAGAAGAAGGAGTAGGTACTAATTATCTCTAAACTATACTCATATTAGTGAACGTATTTGTGACTTGATCATTGGAGATTCTTAACGAAATATCTTACTAATATCTGTTGGATTGGTATGGCAACCCTAGAGGGGTGAATAGGGTTTAATTAACAAAATGTAAACTTTTTAATAAATTGGTCAAATTTAAAAAAAAAAAAATACACTTTTTGAGATATATAATTTTAACAAAGTAAGATAAAATAAACTCTAAGGCAAACAAGAGATTTTAAAGCAAACAATAAAATTCTAAAATTAATTGCAAAAATAAATAAGAGATAGTGTAAGAGAATTTTAATAGCGGGAATTTTTATATTGGTTCGGCACAACTGTCCTGTCCCACTTCCCAATCACCCTTTGGGTTGTAAATTGAAATTCTAACTCTTTCCATGGTAGGAGTTAAACTAGTACGCTACCCTTCTCGAGAGCAAAGATGATCCTCTCCACGGTGAGGATCACACCGTTATATTGAATTTGAATTTTTGAAACACACACTTACAAACTCTCAAATAGAGTGAATGTACAAATTTGAGCTCATAAAAATTCAATCCTCAAAACAATAAATTTTTCTCACAAATAAGATGAAAAGAAAAATTGAGAACTTGGACAGATTAACAAATGAAAATTTTGAAGTTGAGAATAAGAAAATTGTGTATAATTTTGAAAGAGAAGTTAAGTTTAAATAGAGGAGAGAAAATGATAAAAAAAATCAAGTTTAATTTTGAACCATTAGATCTTAATTATTGAAAATGAAGAATTGAGATAATTAAAAAAAAGAATTAAAAATTATATATATATATAATAATAATAATAATAAAATATATATATATATTATAATAATAATAATAATAATAATAATAATAATAATAATAATAATAATAATAAAAATAAAAAGTAATATATATATGTGTGTGTGAGAAACTGTTAGAATTTTGAAAATCTTGTTTTTTTAACACTGAAGTATGTCAACATTTAATGCTGACATGATATTTTTTTTCTTTTGGTTTCAAAAGTTACAAGATAACTTTTGATTTTTTTTTTAATTTTTCTTTTCTTTTTCTATATATAACAAAACAAGCTTGCCACTTGTCAACCTATCAATTATCTATGTCAACTTATCAGATATTTTTCCTTTCTTGTTTTGATTGTAACTTCTCTGTCTGAGCTCCGATTTGGATGATTCAATAGTCGTTGGAATTGTTGTAATGAGCTCTACGTTGTGAACACTTTAAAATACTAAAAATATCAATAAATAAAAATTAAATTTGTTATCATCAAAACATTAATTACTTAATTAATTAAAATTAATTCATTTGAGATTAAGGGCCAAAAAGCCAACAATCTCCCCATTTTTTATGGTGACAAATTTCCAAAGAAAAATATGTAAACATTTGATAATCATCACATTAAATCCAAAATATTATACTTAAAAATAATTCAAAGATTCATTTCTCCCCCTCAATTAATACATCCATAGATTAATAAACCAATTCATTTCTCCCCTTCAATTGATACATCCATGGATTAATAAACCAATAAATCATGAAACAATTTTAGAGCCAATTTTTCTTAAGCTTCTCCCCTTTGAAATGATCAAAAAGAAAAAAAAAATTAAGAACATAAAAAGCTCCCCCTAAAAATATGAACACAATCTTGCATAAATGCTCCCCCTATCAATATGCATTTAAAAAAATTAAGATGCTTCACAACAAATAATATCAAGCTGAAGCCTAATTTTGCAAAAACATTCTTCATTTAAAGGCTTGGTAAAAATATCCGTTAATTGATTATTTGAGCTTACAAATTCAAGAGTAATATGACCATTTTGCACATTCTCTCTTATAAAGGGATGTCTAATATCTATATGCTTAGTCCTAGAGTGATATATATGGTTTTTAGTCAAATTTATGAC